ATGTGGATTATGTTGTTACAAATTGGAAGAAGTGTAAAGTGAGATTATGGCAACTATTTTGTAAAAGCAAATATTTCCAAAAGTATCATGTTATTAGCATAATCATAATACTGGGTACGGTTCATTCTATGCAGTAGCCCTTATTCAGTTCGAGTGATGTGGATGTCTCCCAAGTATAGGCGTAATATTGATATTTGGGAATTATTGTATCATGGCGAATAGTGAGCCAGGTTTGGCGGATTTCACAAAGCACCTTAGGAAATGGTTCGAAACACGACAACTGAGCTCGGAAACAGACTACAGTGTAAGAGGAAAGCGCAGAGTGCCAGAGTGAGCAAGAGAAAGGACGAGGAAGAGTGACACAAGGGAAAATAGCGTTATATACATGCGAACATAAACACTGAGCGCGCATCATAGGCGACAGTGGTATATGTGGTAATAAACATATTATATTCCTATATCCGCAGGAGAAACTATGGATAGATATACACACTCTGTTCCAAGTGTTAGCCAAAGGTATAGACAGTACGAATCCTTTCAGCGAAGCAGTGTGCGAACCCGACAACCCAGCGTGGACGTTACGCAGCCATGCGGCGGAATTCAAGGTCTGCCAGCGCATTGTCAACATATTTCTATTTATGGATGGACTACATTATGTAAACAACGGGGACTGGCAACAGAGATATATATTTAACAATGAGCAGAGGCTCGAAGAATATCTTAGATGTATGCTAGGGCATGTCGCTCTATTACAGCTGTATGGGGACAACTGTGACCACATAGAACTTGTACGCACGGTATCCAACAGTATGGACCCGTTCAGGGAAGCATTTCGCCATGCGGATATTAGTAAAACGTGTGCAAATATGAATTATCGTAATATCCAGATTGGTACTAAACTTATAGGGTTGACCATGGCACGATGGATGGAACAACTCAAGGGAACGCGGCATGTAGGAAGTATAACAAGTGACAAACCAGTACAAATATGTAACCAGGGCCAGGGCACGAACACAAAAGAGGCTACTGCAGACGGAGTTCGGCAGAACGGCCATATGCCAATTGTAGAAATGATGGAGGATGGTACTACGGACGTAGTAAAGAAATTAATTAAGAAAGGAAAGGATATGACGGATGAAGTGAAGAAGAGATTAATTGAAACAGTGAAAGATAGCACAAATCCAGAGAAAACGATGGAGGACATATTAGACACCGTGAGCAAATGCACTGCTCCGGGCAACGCATGCGTACAAAGCGCATTAGAGAGCGTCCACACATCCGTCACACCAGTCCCGCCCAACCCAGCAGATCATGACCCATCTGCAATATCAGCATCGGCAGGTAAGGAGCGATGGGAGAAAGCACGACTACGGCCTAATACGAATCATACGGCCGCACACGAACAC